TGAAGTGTCTATGGAGTATAAACTACTTGAAACACAACGGAAGAGTAAAAAGAATCAGAATGGTCCCCCCTTTTCTTTTTATCATTATTATTTTAAATTTTAAGTGGAGTTATTTTTCCATTTGAAAAAAACAAACAAACAAACAAACAAACAAAAAAAACACCTCTCTGGTACTTCCATTTGGACATGAGCCAGAAGCTTATTTAACTCCAAAGAGCCTTGGGTTTTTTCATTCTTTAGTGATGTGAAATTTCACAGCTATATTCTTGTCACCTTAAGCTAACATCCATTGGAGTCGATAAATCATTTAATTGTTCTTAAAATAGAAAAAAAAGCTAATTAGTTAAATAAGTTTTAAGATCAGATGCAAAGAAATATATGTTACTTATTAAAACATTAGAGAAAAAAATGTTAGTCTATCCGTTCCACTAAAAATAGGCTTTGAGTGGTAAGTAAATAAAGAAAAGGAATTTAATTGGTCATTTCATGCTTGTATCTTTAGCACTCATATCAGATTATATTTCATAGTTACCAATCTTCTTTCAAAAGCCTTCGAAGGTATGGACTATATGTGGGCAAAATTATAGCTTATTTGATTTGTAAATGGGGCGATCATGTTTCTCTATTGAGAAACTCTAATTGTAGTTTCCAGTGTCTAGACTTTCCTCTGGTACACTCTAGAGTAGTTTACAGTTTCTATAGGAGAGATGACTGAAGATTATGGTAAAAATCGTCCATGCCTTGATCGTAACAGCTATTTTTGTGGCGTCTTTGCCTCGTTAGGATACTAACACTCTGTTGGAAGCTAATATTGTAGAGTGCGTGTCACCCTCTAGCGCAAGTCACACTTTGAAAGAAGAAGGCAGAACAATCCCAGGAGGGTTCTAAGAAGAGAAAAGTAAGGCTGATATCAGAATGCTCATAAGAAAAACAAAACCAAAGCTTGAATGATTTTAATAAAAATAATAGCCACTGCTATAATAACTTGTTATGGGCTAGGCAATAAACTAAGCACTTAGATTTACTAGCTCATTTGCGACTGTCAATATTCCGAATGATCAAAATCATTATCTCCCTTGTTAACAGAAAGGATGGCTGAGAACCAGAAAGGTTGAGTGGCGTGGATGTGGAGGTGGGATTTAAAGCCACTTGTGGCTTGTTCCAAAGCCTATGCCTTTAACCATACAGCATCAGGGATTTATCTCTTCTCCGTCGCTGGAGAGGAACTGTTGTTTTTCCTCTAGTTTTAAATAAAAGTTTAATTCCAACTCATCTTGGATTAATATAGTGTGTGGTATGATGAATAACTCCAACATATTTTTTTTCTATACTGATAACACATTGTCTCAATACTATTTATTAAACAGTAATTTATTTCTCAATTGTGGGAGATTCTTATAATCATTTAAATTTCTTTTGCCATTCTCAATTGTATTTTATCAGTCTGCCTTTATGGGTTTTGAATGGTTCTTTAATATGTAATTATTGCTTTGTGATTTTAATCTCTGATAGAATAAATTATACAAAGATATATTAAATTTATTTCTTAGACAAGGTGATTTTTTTTCATGTCCTCTAATGTTTCCTTTTGCCAGGAAAAAAAAAGTGCATTAACTTCTAAAACCAACTCATATGTTCAAGAAGAATGAAATGTTATCAGTTGGGAATAAATGACACATTATTTAGGATAACGCATTATGCCTGTGAGTTGTGTCAGCTGATGCAATGGTGTGATTGACAGTTTTTATTGCATCATTTTTTGAGTCTCTGAAATTAGGAAATGAAGTAGATGGTCTCTAACTTTTCTTAAAATGCTGAAGTTCTGTGACTGTTTCTTTGTTTTCCTGAAATAACTCTGATTATTTACACGGCCCCAATGTCTAACAACATAATTCCTCTGCGATATGAAGGCAGTCTCAGACACCATCTTGTCTGGGGGACCTTCCCTGACGGCCACCACAAGACCCCACAGCCAGGTCCCTTGCAGGCTCTCCTGGCTCCTCCTCTCTGCCTGACACCCTGTACATATCACGGCACAGGCCCTGGAATGACACAGTAGGAGAAGAGTAATTTATTAAATGAATTCAGTTGCTGCGAGGCCTGTGGAATGATCTTCATTGTGACAGTATAACCCCCTGTGTGATGGAGGTGAGAATACTAGTAAGTTTCCGCCCAGCTGGTGTTGCTCAGTGGTTGAGCGTCAACCTATGAACCAGGAGGTCACTTTTCCATTCCCAGTCAGGGCACATGCCCAGGTTGTGCGCTCGATCCCTGGTAGGGGACGTGCAGGAGGCAGCCAATGGCTCATTCTCAGCACTGATGTTTCTATCTCTCTCTCCCTCTCCCTTCCTCTCTAAAATAGATAAATATATTTTTAAAAAAGAATAAGTGTTTACACCTGGGAATTTGAGGTTCTGGCCTCACAGGAATCTGCTTGAGTTGCTTTCAAGAGACAGTTTTATCCTGGCCACAGCTCAAATGTTTGAAATTGGAGTGAAAGCTGAAATGAGAACTAAAGTACCTGCTAACTGTGATGACAAGAGGAGCATATGTGGATTTTTAAAATTCCCTCTTAGTCCAGGCTGAGCAGCAGGATCTGTATATACATGCATAATGAGAAGCGTAGAACGTTTCAGTCTCCATCCAGAAAACCATAGAGGATATCCTAAAGTTTGAAACTTAAAGCCCTTGTGTCTTCTCACTGTAATTTATTGTTTACCTCCAGTCACAAACTGGTTATTCTTGTTACAAGAGTGTGCTGTGCTGAGACTCTGAGAACTGAGTCTCAGACACGGGAAATCTCATCACATCTTGATCGTTTAATGCAAGGTTATCTAGACAATGATAATATATACTATATACATAGAAATAAAATGTTCCCACCTAGCATGTTGTCTGCTTACATCTTAAAGAACATTTCTGGTAAATATATCTAAAATGAAGGTGGGGATATTTTACAACTATAAACCATCCTTGTATAGCAGGGATGAGGTCCATTAATTCTCAGAGCTCGTGGGTGGGCTGGCAATTCGTAAGTGGTAAATCCAGAGAGTTATGAAGATATTAAATCTCACATCTGGTGAGAAAATGTGTTTTTTCACTGGGTTGATTGATGGACACTTTCCCATTACAGTGCAGTTTGGGAAATCGCACTGCTAATTGCTAGGGTCTTAGCAAAGCTCTGTAGTTCAATTCCAATTACTTTAGTTTTGAAAAACAGAACAGCTGGATGGTGAAATTGCCTGGAGTTGTCACCGAGGGAGGGCACCAGCCAGCCATCTGACCTCTGCCATTCCTGACTTGGATTTTCTACAGAACTGTTAGTGAAATCGAAGGCCCCCGGTATCTGAGGTCTCCTTGCCAGGTGCTTTATTCTGACTCAGGACCAAGTCCCCTGTTTGCTTATGCTCAGGTGATAGCAGCCCCATCATCAGCCTCCCCTATACCGATTAGTACTCATCTGCCCTTCTGTTCACAGGGGAGAGATGAGAGGAAATCTCATCACATCTTGATCTTTTAATGCAAGGTGATGGCTTCCATGCTTTAGACCCAAGCAGAGTTTTAAATCTTCCCCTCAGAGATTCCTTTGCTGTCATATTGACCATTCAGGATGTTGTTTATGGGGCAAATTATATGTCTCCACTCAATCTCGTTGTCTCTGGATAATTATAGAAAGATCAACTCCAGTCATGGTTTGGAAATGACCCGGCATCATTGGCTAACTGTAACCCACTCCACATCTACTCCAGCTCACTGGCTGCCGGAATCAGACACACATCCGATGTTCTCTTTGGTTAATATAACACAGGCTCCAGGGCGCTCTGTGTTGCTTGGGGCAGCTCTGAACATATAAGGGGTTTTTGTCAGTAGTTTAGGATTTAGGAGCCATGAAAAAATGAAGACACGGCAAGTGTGGCAAAGTCTCAAGGAGAACAGAGTTGGGCAAGAGTTTCAAAGAGAAATCTTTGTGAGCAGGAGGAAAGCTGAGAAAGATGGGAAATTAGAGAAAACGGTGTCTTGCCTTTCCAGAATCCCTTCTTACTGTTCGCTATAGTTTTTGATGTTGTAAATTCAGACTAATAATTTTTAGTGCCCTTTCCAGTCAACACTCTTGAAATATGTGTTCAGCATATTTGACAGGGTGAACTGAGGCAGGGACTGGGGGCTACAAGAGAAGGGCCTTTCCTCTTTGGCAGTTGTCTGAGCAGTCACTCAGTCCCCAAACCTCTGTAATACTCAGATAAAAAAAAAAATACCTGCCCAAACTGCTATTACGCTTGGGGTAATGCTTTCTGGGAGCCTTACTCCCCTTCCCTCCCAGAGACTTATCAATAGGGTGACTGTATATCTATGTGGTGTCTGCCTTGTCCTTACCCAGCTATTAATAACCCCCATATAACCCTCCAAAGGGTCCCAGGTTGGATAACACATTATATAGTCACACTCATTATCAGTGTATATCTTCGGATGTACAGTGTGGTGATGGCAGGGGGCGGGGGGCTGGAGGTGGATGGAGGTAGAAGAGGGCATAGAGATAATAAATGGTATTGGAAAACATTTAATTAAATTAAAAAAAAATCTGGTCACATAGGAAATGAAATCTGGTAAGTGAAATTTCCTCAGTCTCCCTATATTTTCTGAGCTGTTCTTAACCTTTGTAGACAGATCCCCTGGGGAGTGACCCAACCCTCAATCAAGCCATTTATAAAATCTCTGCGTCATAGAAATTTAGGTCCGATGGGACCCATACAACAAATAAACAAAAAGCATCTTGGCAAATTAAAGGGTGCGCCTTACTTTAAAAAACCAAGATCTAATAGTGTACATCAGCGTTGTTTTCATTTGTCATTCTTTCTTACTTTGTATTTTGCATCAATGGCAAATCAGTCACTTCTGAAATCTTTGAAATAATCACTATCTAAGCTGTTGTTTTACTTCCTGTAACTTTTCCTTCTGATATGTAACTCTTTCCTGACATTACTCTCACTCGTCTCTTGTAGGTCTTCTTTTCCACCTTCTCCCCACTGTGGATCTGTCCTGTTTCTTTGCCACGCTGGCCTCTGGCTCACCCACTTTCTGGAGACGGGGTGGAGACCTGTGGACAAGGTGTGTGTGGTGATGAAGAGAGGTAGGATTGTTTATGTGCGCCTTTTTTAGCAAACCTGAACATTTCCAACTGCATTTCTAATGTGCACTTTTTCAGTAGAAACCCTGACTCTTTCAGTGTTCTCCTCCAAAGATGTTTTTAAAAATTTTTCTTTTTTATTATCTTTGTTGTTGAAGGTATTACAGATGTTCCCCCACCCTCTTATTTTTTTCTCCCCATCGACAGTAGGGATTTTATTCGTCTCATTTAAGTGTATGCACTAGGTACTTTTTTCCATCAAGATTCATTTATTTCTAATCCTAATCACAGAGGCCATTTATTTAGATTCTAGTTTGTATTCAGTGTTGATCTTCTTTCAGAAAGTATTGGAGATTTAGTTCTATTTCATTCTCTCCCTTTCCTGACTGCAATTTCACAGAAAAAAAATAGATTTCTTTTTAGTAGCTCAGTTATTCTTAGTTCTGTAATTGTTTTCCATATGTGATTTCTGTCTCCCTGGCTTTATTCAGAGCTTACTGGCGGGGATGGAGTGGGGATCGGGTTTTCATACACTTTTTGGATATTTTACAGAACTGAGGTTCTTGTCAAGGACATGAAAAATTGCATTGGCTCTTAACCAAAGATGTCAGTACTGTGACTGTCTCCCATTTTTTGAGACAGGACCTGCTTTAGCCAGGGCTCATATAGGGTGTCCCAAAATTCATGCAAGATTTGAATTTTGCATGAGCATTAACAACAACAACAACAAAAAATGAAAGTCTAATTTTACTTGGTTTATTTAATCAGATTCTAATATCTGTTGCTCTTTGATTTCAATCCCTTCAATTTGATAAGCATTTCCAACTACCAATGATGGCCCAGGAGCAGGGACAATGAAGACCAATGAAGACCACAGCTTTGCATATGTGCCAGCAAAGCCGTGGAGGCCATTTACCCAATGTGCTACTCCATACATAACCTTATACTGTATACTTTATGAATCAATAAAAAAGTTACAATTTTTAGTTATAAACATGTGTTTTCTATCAAAATTACTTCTTGCGTGAATTTTGGGACACCCTATAGATTGCAAGCATCAGAAACCACTTCTAACGTACTTAAGGAAAAGTGAGAATGTTGCTGGGACTTGTTGAAAGATTATGCAGGGTTGCCCAAAAAAACTGAAGGACCAATGGAAACCTAGCATTAGGAACATCAGAACCCAGGGCAGCCCTGGAGTTCCACGTAACTGTTACTGATGGGCAAATTCTATGGTCTTTGTGTTGTTGGGCTCGAGATTCAGTTTCTAGAACTGAGCTCAGGTTATGGGCAGCTTTTGAACAAGGAAGGGTGTGCTTTGGACCCGTGCTACTTTCATGAGTGGATAGAGAGTTTTTAAAGCCCTGCTTCTAAAGTCTCTCTATGTGCTACTTCAGACTCCGTGTACCTAACAGCGCAGCAATAGCACTGCCAGCCATGGAGTGTCCTTTATTTCATCCCACTGTTGTTGTTTTTTTACATTTCTTACCCAGGCACACAGGCATGCCCTCGCTACTACTCCACCATCCATTTATCTATAGATTATCCATGGCTTTTCTTTAGCTACAGGTTTTATTGTAAGCATTTATATCTCTGTGGCATCTACAGATTTCGATGCAGGTTACGGGAATGAATAGCAATACAAAGTTACTAGTTCTAATAGAATGCTATTAACATGGGAAAAATACTTTTATGCATGATTTAAAAACTTGAATTTATAACATTTTTGTATCCCGTTGACATGTGTTCAAAGTAATATGCAATTTCAGATTTATTCTGTTATAATGTCATTTTTAAAAGATTATCTTTAGACATTGTGATGGCTTTACAATAAATCCAGCTAAAAATTTCATCTTTGTTGTGGAAAAGAAAGCTCTTAAATGTCTTTAAACATAGTCCATCTTTCGGAGACCGTCTGTTTGGAGACAAGTTTGTCTCCTGAGTATATTAAACAACAGTAATTCCTGGCGTTTCTCCAGCACTGTGTATTTTCAAAGCAATTTGCAATAATCAATTCATTTAAACACCCAGCAATGCCATCACTGAGAAGCAAATGTAACCTGACCACCACCTGAGCTGGTACTGGCTCCCAAATTACCTCTGTGCTCACATCGTAGAGCTTTGCTTTGATTAAAAATCACCCTTGGAACAATTGAGAGGCTAAATATAAGCTACTCCATTCTACTTCTTTGTCTTTTATTTGCTCATAAATGGAATAATCTATTGCTACTTCAGTGGGAGCTGTGTCTCCAGTACTCCTTAGAGATGGTTTGCCTGTATAAATATGAGGACAAGCTGTTGTGGTAAGATCCTTTTAGAAGACTTTTTGTATTCACCCTTTAAGGTCCAGCTCAGATGTTATTTTATAACTGAAATGTTCCATAAAACTCCTTCTGTCTTGCTTTGAGTTAATTAATTTCTCCCTCCTGTGTTCTCACGGAATTTTATACATACTTCTGCTACAGCTCTCATCACAATGTTGGTGTAGCTTGAAGTCTAGACAGGGAGCATTCCTCTGGCCTGTAACCATGTCTCATTTGTTCATCTATTCTCATCCTTCAGCACAGTGTCTGGAATATGTAGAAACCCAAGCATCTTTAAATCCTGTTTTAGAACTCAGCTTCTCCAGGTCGCTCTCACTGAGCCATCTACACTTTGCTCTGGTTGACGTGAAGAGTAAAAGGGGGGCATCCCAATCATATGGATTCAGGGCAGTCTCCCTGGAGGCATTAATTCTTTGGCTAATTTTTCAGAATGATGACATGTTGTTGAAAAGGAGAAAAGACAATCAGACTAGAAGGGAATGAACGAGTTGTATAAAAATTCCAAGACAAGAAAGAGCATAACACCCTGGACTACAGTCTTAACAATAGTGATCATCACACATCAGCATCCTCTTTATCATCATCACTGCCATTGTCATCTTATAAGAACCATTTATTGAGCACTTTTTAGGTCCCTAGCACTGCCCTAGGTGGCTCACCGACTTGCTCTCACATAATAACCTCAATAGATATGCAATGTGGGAATTATATTATCATCTTTCTCATATGAAAATAGTCAGCTTCAGGGAGACTATAAAACTCAATCTCTATAAGCTAGTAAGCAAGGTCGCTTGGATTGGAGCCTTATGGCATGTGAATTGCATCTCTGTGTGTTGTTGTGTGCCACTTAGCTACCATTTTAGGCCTGCTTGCTTCTTGGAATGCCTGCTGATTGTATCGCTTCTCTTTTCTCCTTTGTCCATGAACTGCAAGTGGCGAACCGTCCAGAGGCTACATTCAATGACACTTTTCAGTCCTGTGATTCTGTTCAGAATCCACACATCCTCTAAAAGGCCTCCTATAGAAGGAGTTGCCATTAACAGCAAATGTAGCTCTGATCACAGGAGGAATGAGGACAGGAACTGAGACCATTATTCTCTATTCTAAGATGTCTAAAGCATACCATAGCAGCTTTTATGTTTTCATTCCTTGCTTTGAGGTCTACACCTTGAAGGCTACCTTTCTTCTCAGGTCCGCCAAATGGTTATTATTCTCAAAGTTATAAAAGGGAAAGCTATTAGTGCATGCTTGTGCTGCTTAAGGAAGCCAAAACTTTTCAAATCTTGAGTGCGATTACTTAGGGGGTGTTTAATTTAAAACAAGGCAAACTGAGCTCTATTGCTTGAAGGTAAAGATGAGATACATTCCTTACAGGGCTTTTGACCATGTGGTAGCTCATTGCCGAGTCAGCTGGAACCGTTTGAAAGTTGCCTGACACAATGCAGAGTCACTTGCAATTTGCATCAATCAAAGAAATCAATGAAATTTGCAAAGCTTTGTGGCTCTCTGAAGATTTAGGTGTTACTTATATCCCAGCCAAGAGTGGCTTACTGTATTGAAGGGTTCCATTCCATCTTCCATCCCAACCATACTATATCATAAAATTAATTCAAGGGGCATTTAAGTAATATGAAAAGGACATAGAAGTGTGTAATGTGGGGTGAGTGCATAGGTGTGTGTGTTTCTGTGTTATTTTTTATTTTTTGGTGTAGAACATGTATTTACGATTTAGAAAACATGTGGGAATTATCTTTTATTTTACTTCCCTTTTCTTTAATTTATATTTTAATGCATATCAGTTTCTCACTTGTCCTTGAGTAAGCCTTTATCTTTTGGCAATTAAGCATATTTATTTTTAAATTGATCTTACATGATCCATCTTACGTATACTTTGTTAAAAATTTACTATTAAAGGTTATATGTTTCCTTGATTTTGTCCTGTAAACACCTTCCTTAGGTTGTGGAAGTCTAGACTAGAGGATATGGGTAATGGCAAGGCATGACCTTCAGAAGCACTGAAACTCATGAGATCTTTTACAAGTGATTTCACTCTTGGTCCTACAGGATTTTGTAGGATGTTATTATAATAGACTAGGGGCCCAGTGCACAAATTTGTGCACCTTGAAAGGAACTGTGGGCCACGAGGCTGTGGTGGGGACAGGGGCGGGTCTTGGCCCATCCTCTGAGCCCCTGCCTGGCCCCTCCTGCCGCCCCTGGTCCCCTGTCTGCTGGCAGTCCCGCTCCTGCCGCAGTTGCTCCCATACGCTGATGGCGCCGGCCCCGCTCGCACCCACTGACAGCACAGAGGAATTGAGCTGGCAACAGTAGCAGGTGTGAGCGGGGTCAGTGCCAACAGTGTGTGGAGTGGTGGCTCCAGCACCAGCAGGGGGTGCAAGAGGCAGCTGCTGGCCCTGATCGCCCCTCAGGAGAAGGGGGAGGTGGAGAAGCCCTGAGGACTGATCAGGGCCATCAGCCGCCGCTCGCTTGCACCTGCTGATGGTGTTGAGCAATTGGGGCTGGTGCTGGGTGCCAGCAATGGGTGTGATCGGTGGCTTCGGCTTCAGTGCCAGCAGCGGGTGAGAGTGGGGTCGGGGCCGGCAGCAGATGCGAGCATTGGTGGGACTGTGGCGCGCAGGAGCAAAGAATTTTCAATAACC